TATTCATAAGTTCTGAGACCATATTGGATTCAATTATTATCGTGTTTCACTTTGCATGTTTTGACTTCCCGAATAAACTAGGTTATTCTTCCGGAATGACTAAGTTGTTCAAACCATCCACAGTCGGTCATATGTTGGTAGTAGATATGAATCAAGACTGTCATGGGTTGGCTTGTAGAGGTCTAAGTTGTTGGACAAAGGGCTACAACACTTATGAGTGCTCATAAGTTCTGAGTATTGGATTCAACCCGCGCTCATTGGAATCACTTCATGGATTTTATCACGAGTGATCATGAGACGATAATATCTTATATTCTTCAAACCTAGAGATATGAGCTGTTACTATGAGTTGATAGTACATTGATTGCACGAAACGCATTGGTAACTCGATGTTATAAAACGTGTCTTTGTGTATGATTCAACAAGTAGTAGAACAAGCCATATGAGTCGAAGTTTATCCATTCCTTTTACCTTCGGGATAAAAGCGATATCTGTGGGCCCCTCGATGATTTGATGATGACAAATGGAAGTGCTCGGCCGGGCCAGGACTGATTTGATTTGTTCAATTAGTCAGTCGTCATAAATCGGAAATCGGGAAACAACTAATGGACAGAGAGAATGATTATAATCCATGTCTCATTCCATATGATATCTAGAATGGAGGAATATATGATCCCTTATCTAATGGACAAGTCATTGACAAGATCAGAGTTCATCTACAAGGTCAGAGTTCGACAGAAGCTTTTGAGAGCTACGATTGCCAGTTGGTTCCTAAAGTCATACGCAAAAATAGTTTTAGACTTATCCAAGTGGGAGACTGTTGGATTAATGTCTAAGTCCATAACTATAATTGGTAAGACTTGACCCGACCCGGCATGGTCCATTTGGGTTGTATGGCATCATGCACTTGGATAGACTATAATGAGAGAAATAAGACACTTATGGTTATTAATATATTATAAGTTCTAGTATATTAATAATAAGAATAATAAGATTATTTAATTAGTATTGATCAAGAATTAATCTAGGATTAATTAAGTGATCAAAAGAAGACTAATTAAATATATGGGTTGATTGTGTAAATCATTCATTCTTATATATGTGGGCTTGTGATCCAAGATTCCTTATGTTGGACTAAGTCCATGGGGTGACCCATGGATACTCCATGGAGGTTAAAATCCATGGACCATAAGGAATGGGTAAAGTCATGGGTTACATGGTGTAACCCTAATAGCCACCATATAAAAGAAACCCATGGCTAAAGAAATCGATACTATGTGTGTGTATGAGGGCTAGACGATTTCAAGAAGTGTTCTAATTTCTCTCAAGTTATTCCAAGTGTATTTGGTGTTGTGTGAACCATTTGAGGTGTCACACTTGGGGCACTAAGCACTCAAGCTTAATGAAGACAAGCACCATTAAAGAGGTATGTATTCTATCTTGTTATATTGATATTTTGTATGCTAGATTAGGATAATACCTTGGATGTTCATATTTGCATGTATAATAGAGAAAACATAGATCCAAGGTATTTAGGGTTGCATGTACACTTAGGAGTGTTAGAATGCTCATAACCCAACATAAAGAACATATGAAAAGTATAATTTTCTAATGAGAAAGAAAGCTCAAGAGTTAACATGGTTTAGCAAAATTATTCAAGATGTAACGAGAAGAGGGTACCACCTTACAAGTGTAACACCTTGACTCCCATGTATAAGTTTTAAAGCATTAAGTATATGTTTATGGACCTACTCGACGAGTTGGTTGCCCAACTCGTCTTGTGAAAACGGGTTGGCCCGCATGAATTATTGGACCTACACGACGAGTCGGAGGACCCAGTCTCGACGAGTAGGAGTTGGAGGATGAAACCCTAATTTTTAGGGTTTGCACCTTATTTAAAGGACCTTAAGTCATTACCTTCAGTCCCTTACCACCTCTTGACGGCCAGAAGAAACCCTAATCGTGATTTTACTCAATTTTGTGTGTTAAAGAGCTTAGAAAGTGGTGTTTGAGAATAAGGCTAGAAGTTTAAGGAACTTGGAGCAAAGAAGGGCTTGTGAATCTGACTCTACCTCATCTTGGCATCATTTTGAAGGTAACAAGTCGTTACCTTGACTTCTCTCTAGCTAGATCTATCCATGCTTAAGTTTAGGGCCATTTTTAGCATATATGTGAGCCATTTCAGGTATTGGCCTGGACCCTTCCATGCCCCAAATTCATAAATCTTTCAACTTTATTTAGTATTAATCTCTCACCATGACCTAAACCTCATTATAGACTTGGTTTTTAGTGTTCTAAGCCTTTAAGACCTTGCATGCACGTAAAGTTTGCAACTTTACGTGAAATATGTGCCTTAGGAAGCTGGATCTACGAATTAGAGTTTTAGGGTAGCTTAAAAGGGACTCGACGAGTTGCATGGTCAACTAGGTGAGTCCGATGAAGATTAACCGTTGCTGGTTTCTGCATGAACTCGTCGAGTCAGCAAGACGACTCGACGAGTTAGGGTTTTCCCGAATTTTTGACATGCATGGACTCGAATACAAGTCTAGAAACTCGGCGAGTCAACTAGGGTTTTTATGATTTCTCGAGTTATAGAAGGACTCGACGGTCAAGCACATAACATGTATTTCTTTAAAACACCCCGAAAAAACTCATAAATACCATTGTATACATTGATGGCATGATTATAACATGAGATGTTTTGATTTATAAGAAACTCGTTTTTTAATCTGTTAGGTTTTCAGTTAGTCTACCAAACATAGCCTTAATATTATATCATAATCTCATTTAGGTCTTCGATGAATTAACATCCCCACACATGTTATACATGAGTTGCAGAATAGGCTATCTGTCCTTCATGAGACTGAAAATCACAGTTTATATCCAACAATTGTTGAAGGTCTTATGGAACTTTTTACAATTCATAATGAATATGTTAGGACTTTTAAAACCGCGAAAGATATTGTTGCTGAGAGGAATTTGGTTGACTATGCAGTTTGTCTATTTAATGATGTTCCTTATCATTAATATGCTCCTCTGACTCCGGGTACATTAGGTTGTATTGTTTTTGGTGATGATGCAGTTGGTAGTACATATGACATTGTTGTACATTCTAGAAAAGGTCATCCACGTAGGATTAGTAAACTGCATCCTACCTACATGCCCTTACAATATCCTATCCTATTTCCTTATGGTGAGACAAGTTGGTTTCCACGTTTGAAGCTTTATAATCATATGATTAGTAAGGTTAGGAATATGATTGTTATGTACTACAGTTATCAGATCAATGCGAGGCATGGTATATACTCTCTTTTGTTAAATTCATGTAGATTGTTTCAGCAATACTTAGTAGATGCTTATGCAACTAAGATCGGCATATGTTAGTGGTATATATGATGCAATATCACATGATGACACTGAAACCCGATCTATTGGCAAGCGTGTGCTTCTGCCTCCATCTTTTGTTGGTGGCCCACGGTATATGTATAGTCACTACCAGGATGCCCTTTCTATTCATAGAGAATATGGAAATCCACAATATCTTATAACCTTTACATGTAACGTTGGTTGGCCATAAATTACACGTTACATGAACTCACATCACCAATCAGATGTTAGTAGTAGGGCTGACATAATTTCACGTGTTTTCAATATGAAAGTTGCTGCATTTATAATTTATTACGTACCTGAAATCTGATAAAACCTTTGGACCTGTTTCAACATGTAAGTATTAATAAACAATATTTATTCATACTTTTATAATTGTATTATTATAACTTCCATGTTTTTGATATAATTTTCTATGTAGTATATACGATTGAATTTCAAAAAAAGGGTTTACCTCATTGTCATGTGCTGATATGGGTGGAAGACTCTCATAAGATAAATGAGCCTTCAGCAATTGACAACTATAATACTGCTGAATTACCAGATCTAGTTTCTGAGACAATCTTATATGGTATTGTTACAAGATATCTACTACATGGCCCATGTGTTTTGCTAAATAGCAAGGCGCCGTGTATGAGGGGTGGTAAGTGTAAGAAGAAATTTCCAAAGGCATTTCTTTCTGCTACACTTTTTGATAAGGATGGTTATGTACACTATAAAAGAAATTCAGTCTCAGTTCACACATTACCAAATGGTATTCAGATAGATAACAGGTACATAGTGCCATTCATCAAAAGGTTGTGTTGTCGTTTCAATGCACATATAAATGTTGAGTATTGCGGTTGGAATATGATGATCAAGTATTTATTCAAGTATGTGTCAAAGGGAATGGAACGTGTTAGATTTGTCATTAATAAGGATGTTCAGTCTTGCGAGCCTTCTACTTCTGCACAAGACAAGGTATGGTTATCGACGAGATAAAAGATTACATTGATGGCCGGTTTCTATGTCCTCATAAGGTTGCGTGGCGTATAGTTGATTATCATATTCACGAACGTGATCCTCCTGTTGTGATATTGCATGTGCATTTTTCAAATATGTAGTCTGTTTTCTTTTGAGAGAACACCAGTCTTAAACAGGTTGTAGAAGATCCTAGCTTTGGTAGTAGTTGGCTTTTATGTTGGTTTGAAAAAAATAGGTGGGATTCATCTGGTCATAATCTTACATATAGCTCTTATCCTACTAGGTATTGGTGGGACAAAGATTCGAAAAGTTGGAGAAGAAGGAAACGTTCAAACTCTCATGCGCTAGGCAAACTTATATTTGTTCATCCAACTGCTGGAGAATTATTTTTCCTAAGGATGTTACTTTGTCATCAAAAGGGCTGCAAATCTTATGAGGATTTGCGTACTGTTTCACATACAATATATTCTGATTTCCGTGGTGCATGTAATGCCTTAGGTCTAATAGGAGATGATAAAGAATGGATGGATGCTTTTATCCAAGCTTCTGAATGGGCAACTTCATCTCAACTACGTTCTCTGTTCTGATATCTTTTGCTTCTCTGTGATGTTAATGATCTGATGTCTTTGTGGTGCGTTGGATGGAAGAAAATGAGCGATGATTTGGTGTATAGTATTAAACACTCTAATCCCAGTGCTGAGGTCAATATAGATGATTTTGGTGTACAACAATTGGTTTTATTTGAGACTGATCGCCTGCTTAGGTCATCAACACCTTCAAAGTCTGTTGTTGATTTTCACTTGCCCATGCTAACTGAAGATACTGTAGGTATGTTACAAAATCGTCTTTACCTAGAAGAAACGATTTATGATAAAGTTGTCCTTACTTTAAATCATCAGCAAATATTATTGTCTCTAAATGAGGAACACCTTTAGATTCACAACAAAGTTACATATGCAGAAGAAAAACAGGAACAAGTCCTTATATTTGTTTATGGCCCTGGAGGAACTGGTAAAACTTTCTTGTGGAATACTTTGCTTGCTTATTTCCGTTCGAAATGAAAGATTGCACTTGTTGTTGTTGCTTCAGGAATAGTTTCTCTACTCCTTGGATCAGGAAGAATTGTTCATTCTAAATTCAATATTCCAATTGACTTTTCGAATTCATATGCATGCAATATTAGAAAGCATACAATGCTTGTTGAACTACTAAAACACACTTCTATTGTTATATGGGATGAGGCACCGATGAGTGACAGACGTTGTTTTGAATGTTTGGATCGGTCCTTAAGAGATATCCTTGAATGCAATACGAAACCTTTTGGTGTTATGTCAATGTTATTAGGTGGTGATTTCCGGCAAACCTTAACTGTCTCTCCAAATAGTACACCATCTGAAATTATTTCACTGACCTTACCAAATTCAACCATAGGGCCATATTTTACGTTACATAAATTGAATGATAGTATGAGGCTTAAAGGATATTCCCATTCATCAGAAGCAGATTTAAGTATGAGTCAGTTTGCATCTTGGTTACTAAAGGTTGGAGATGGAATGATTGGTGAAATTGATACAGTTGATAAGAAAAATAGTAAATGGATTGAAATTTCTGATTCGTTTCTTATACCCGCATCAGAAAACACTTTACATGCTCTTATAGATTTTGTTTATGGGGATGTTCTTCTGTTTAAAGTTCTGTCAGATGTCTTATCTGGTAGAGCAATTGTCTGTCCCAAAAATGACACGGTCCAAAAAATAAATGACATGGTTTTGCTAAAAAGTCATGGTTCTTCAAAGATATATGAAAGTGCTGATAGTATTGAATACAATGGCAAGCAAAGTACAGACTTTAATAGTTTCTATCCGTTGGAATATTTGAATTCATTGATTTTTTTTTCCATTCCTGCACACTCACAATCATTAAAAATTGACCCACCAATCATGCTAATTCGCAATATAAACCAAAAAGAAGGTTTATGCAACGGAACAAGATTAATGGTTTCACAGTTACTGCCAAATGTAATTGAGGCATTAATTATTACCGGTACCTGTGTTGGCAAGAAAGTTTTCCTACCTCGTATTAGATTTGTTCACAAAGCCATTGATATGCCATTTACCTTCATAAGAAAGCAATTTCCAGTTAAAGTATGTTATGCTATTGCGATCAATAAAAGTCAAGGGCAATCCTTAAAGAAAATTGGAATTTATTTACCTGAACAGGTTTTCACACACGGACATCTTTACGTTGCATTGTCACACGCTACATCACCAGATTCAGTCAAAATACTTACGCATTATCATGCTGAAATCAGAAATAACAAAACAAAAAACGTTGTTTTTAAAGAATTTCTAGAGAAAATTAATAACTCACAGGTTGCATACCTATTTAGCTTTATTACCAATATAGAACATCATATTCCATTTAATTGTTTTTACCTAATTTTGGTAATATATAGAGTACAATATTCACTAATGCACTAAAAGATGTTAAATGTAAATTTATATTATTATAATTGCAGATACATCTGAAATAATGTCAACAATTTCATATATCCGGGATCAGCAATACAGGTTTGTGACTGAATTTCAGATTATGTCATTTTTATAATGTTAAAAAACAGCTAAATAGTTTATAAGCATAATAATATCTTTCCTATCGTTTTAGGTTCGGATCTTGCCCATGTGGACGCCACAAATAAGAATTCAGGAAACATGGTTCCTGGCTGTTGACAACGAAAGGATCAAGGATTTGTGCAGTCTGTCCTTATTCGTAACAAATGCTACACAATTGAAAAATATGGATGTGGAATCCCAGGCCATTATCAAAAATGGCTAGAAAAAGACATATACATTGCTGTTGGGATGGCATCATTAATCACAAGTATTCCAGACACACACATCATACCTAAATAGTGGTTTAACTTCATTTCCAAAAAACTAATCCCAACTTATGTGGATCAACATGCGGGTTCTCATATCTATATACATTGTACATATTACGTACCTTAAACACAATTTATGTTTATATCCTCTTTAAAAAGTTTTAACTAGTCTATACCAAAATATTGTTACAAAATATTGTTTTACACTGCAAACTTTCTTGGTGTGTTTAGCAAACTTATTAGGTGTAAAAAGAAAGATCATGAATCATATCTACTACTAATTCTGAAAAGCGATTTGTAAGCATTTGCTTCTTAGGATATTATTCTCATACAATACTAATATATATCAAAATTATAAACATTAGTGGTGACAACATTGCAATAAGTTTGTGGAAAGAATGCACCAACATACCTTCAAAGCTCGATGGTGTATCTCTTGAAAATGCTCCTGCTCCTACGGTGGTTGCTATAAGTAATGTAAAAATCTCGAATATGCTGGTAATTCCATATTATTTCTTTTTCAAAGTTATAAATATACATAATTTTTTTTCCATTTACCTATTTTGGATCTTTTTATTAACAAATAACATAAAGGTTCATTGAGACTTGGCACAAGCAGCGCAAGTCACTTGTACATCAAACCCTCGATTCCGCAAACAACATTTCTTATAGACATGTATTTTCATCCATAAAAAAAACAAAAAGTACATCTACTTTGCTTATTATTTGTTTTTAATGTTGCAGTTATCATACATTTGAAGATTCAGCAGTATACTTTGAATCGCTGACACTCTTATAAGATATATTAGATAAAACTCATTCAGACCTTTTAGTATGTTGCATAACCACATATATACAAAAAAATAATTATACCTCATATTACTATCTATGTTATACTACAAAAAAATAACCTTTTTTTTTCTTGTGCATGACAAAAGTTTCACTACACAAGCATCCATAGGTGAATATATCTTTTCAGATAGTTGGTACCAGGTTCAATGTCCAGACTGCAAGATTGCAACTTCTAAACAAGGGGAAAATTGGTTTTGTCCTTCAGATGGCATTCTTGCTCCTCCAATTACCACGTAAGCATACACACTTACAAATTTTTTCTTCACCACCAAATAAATAAATTTTAATTTACAAAATATATATATTACATGAAATTTGCCAAAACTTAGGTTCAAACTTAGTGTCGTCATTACGGATGGAAGTCAGTCGGTCACCGTTGTGCTTTCCGATACCGCAACACAAGACTTATTTGGCACACCGTCAGATAAACTTATATCACATGATGACATAAACCACAGAAAACAGTTACCTCCAATTGCCACTACTTTACAAGGAATACCGAAGAAGATGAAATTACGTATGACTAATACGTCAACAGTGAACAACATTCGGTTCATTGTCACAAATATTAACAGATCCCCTCTAAACAAAATATATCCATAACGACACCACCAATGTAACAACCAACATCTTCAAAACACAACGAAAAAGAATCAACTACCATCCCCCAACAGACTAGATTGAATGTCAGGAGATCCTTACCGTTTGAAAGCCAAGGTAAAACGTCATTCATTGAATATACATATATTACAAAAAAATTTACATACATAAAACATTAAAAATTAAAAATAATAACTGCAGATACAGCAACTACAAAACGCAAGACCGCACGGAAGACAAACTAGACAAACAACACAACGTCTATGATAAAATAAAAACACAATCCTTCTACAAATTTGTTTACATGCTCATCAGTTTTGTATTATATGTGTAAATGTACATATAGACGACATCTTTAGCTTTACTTCCCTGTACTTTCAGTTCCCTAAGTGAAAAAATAGCATTATGTCTATGTTTGAAATTTCAAATTCGACTTTTTACTGTATTTTCTATTTTCCATTTATGATATAAAAAAAATACAGTTGCCTACAATAATAAATATTATTAAAAAAATTTAAAACATGATATCTTACCATAACATACCCACATGTCATTTATATTTTTTTATAATACATATAAAAGTAGAAAACCAATTACTTCCATCGCAAAAATATACGTGCACATACCTTAGGAGTTAAATTTTTTTAAGCCAATCAACTACATATACATGTTATATCTATTTTCCATTTATGATATAAAAAAAACAATACAGTTGCCTACAATAATAAATATTATTAAATTTTTTTTAAAACATGATATCTCACCATAACATACCCACATGTCATTTATAATTTTTTTTATAATACATATAAAAGTAGAAAACCAATTACTTCCATCGCAAAAAATATACGTACACATACTTTACGAGTTAATTTTTTTTAAACCAATCAACTACATATACATGTTATATGTATTTTCCATTTATGATATAAAAAAAAGCAATACATTTGCCTACAATAATAAATATTATTAAAAAAAAATTAAAACATGATATCTTACCATAACATACCCACATGTCATTTATAATTTTTTTTATAATACATAGTAGAAAACCAATTACTTCCATCGCAAAAATATACGTGCACATACTTTAGCAGTTAAATTTTTTTTAAACCAATCAACTACATATACATGTTATATCTATTTTCCATTTATGATATAAAAATAATAATACAGTTGCCTATAATAATAAATATTATTAAAAAATTTTAAATCATGATATCTTACCATAACATAGTCACATGTCATTTATAATTTTTTTTTTATAATATATATAAAAGTAGAAAACCAATTACTTCCATCGCAAAAATATACGTGCACATACCTTAGGAGTTAAATTTTTTTAAGCCAATCAATTATATATACATGTTATACTATAACCTTATCAACTAGACTTTATTATAGCTTTGATTACTCATGCAATATTACAACTCTTGTCATCTTATAACTTACTTTATAAAAAACCCAATAAATAATATTATAAGGAGGCAATAAATTATAGCATTTATACTCGCATCTTATCAGCTATGCTATACAATAGCTTCCATTACCGATATAACTTTACAACACACATCATCTTACACATTGCTTTATAAAAACACAATAAACAATGCTATGAGGAGGAAAACAATACACATGGACATCTATAAGTATACACTTCCATATTTACATTAAAAAACTATATACAATACACATAAATTGTAAATCGAATAACAAAAAAAGGTAGCATAACCCCATAACGAAAATCAATATGAACACAACAGACTTCAATAAAAGTTTGATGTTCGTGATCAACTTCATAAGAGAAATCGCAGACCTACTTGAGGTTGCTCACGCCAGGTTGCATGAAAGTTACGTGCTTGACGAGAGGGTGCAACTCTACATGGCCAATAACGTTGACGATCTCGACGTACAAGCATTACATAATACGTTTGAAAAGGCGGTAATCGATGATCAATCAATGCAAGACAACATTTCCTTCATGTTAGGATCAATCCATAAAAGGATCAGAAAATATAAACGCAACATGAAGGACACTCCTGCGCTGTAAATATATTATTTACTTTCGTTGTTTCTAAGTACTAAAAGGTTTGTTGTTTACTACTTTGAACATATATCGATAAATAAAGTAAACGTTCGGTGTAAAAATTATAGTATATCAACAAATGTAACTTTCGTTGCTTTCGTTTTTATTTACGTTTTTATGCCATAATAAAAAAAACATGTTGCTTTCGTTGTCCATTATGTTTATTGTCCTCTACTAAAATCACACAAACTGTTCACACATTACGTTACATTTAAGTCCTCATTATGTTATATTTAAAACGTCGGTTTTTCAAACCCCCCCCCCCACCCCCCCCCCCCAAAAAAAAAAAAAAAACCCGATATCAATTGGTAAAGTGAAACGCCGCCTCTAGGTTACATCATATATCATCATGAACTTCGAAACTAATACTTACATTAAACATCCAACTACCATATTAAATAGCAAATCATCTATTTAAGAACCATTCATATCCTTGTGCATTCTCAAACCATTATCATCCAGAAAATACATACGCCTTCCAAAAGCAGAATGAAACCCAAAAAAAGGAAACAATCATCAACAACCTCATCACCCACTATGAAGCAGAAAAACTATCATTAGCCAACATGTAGGAGGAAATCTTTGAGCATCAAAACTACAAGAACGAGCTGCTCGAACACATGGATGCCAAACCATATTTCGATAACTACCTCAAGATGCAGCGTATCTTATTCGACAACAAATACGAGGCGGCAAAACTGTTGAGTAGCATGCAGGAGATTAAAAACAAATACGAAGCTCTTATTGAAAACCTCAAAAAAGAGATCAAAAAACTCCCTGATGACAAACACCCCTACCTTTAATATGTTTGTTTGGTTGATGGTTTTCAGTTTAGATTATCTTTTGGCGTATCAAAGAATCTTCCTTTTGCAGTTTGTTTGGATGTAAATGTATGAAAACCACTTCTATATTATTAATATGGTTGCATTAATATCTTACTATTTTCTACTACATTGCCCCATTCATATGTTCGTACTTAGACTATATATATTTCTTAAATGCATCTTGCTTTAAATATTCTGCAAATATTAACAAACAAATTTTGGCATAGCGCCAAAGGCACAACTAATTCCATACTAGCTGTATATGCACCCTTATTTTTTAAATTTCTCGACACACCCTTACTTTTGGTCTTAATTGTCTTAATTTTTTATTGTCTATTATTATTATCAAGGTTTTGAAAACCGGACGGGAGACCGAACTGTTCGTCTTACTAGTTCAATGGTTCAGGTGGTCCAACCGGTCGGACCTGTCTCAAAAACCGTAAAAACCGGATGATGTCATAATTATATAAAAAATACAAAAAATGAAAAAAAAAAATAATTTTTAAAATTTCCGGTTTTGACCGGTTCAACCGGACCCGTTTTTACCGGTTTACATGAATACCAATTTTTTGGCCTTTAAGAACCGGATCCGGGACCGGTTCCGGTTGAACCGGTCGAACCGGCCGATCCAGTATTCAAAACATGGATTATTATTATTATTTAATTAAATTTACAATAATTATAGTAATTTAATAAAAAAAATTATTTTCTTCAATTTGATTTTATCCACCTATTTTTAGACAAAATTACATAAATGATCCTTGTGGTTGACACATTTGACCAATTTTGGTCCTTATGACAAATTTTGTGCGTAGATGGTTCTTATGGTTTCAAAATCTTGTAAATACGGTCTTTTTGCTAACGATGTTAACTTTTTCTGTTAAATCCCTTGTGAAATGACACATTTCCGCTTCATGCCATAAGGACTATTTATGTTATTTGTTCCAACCACAGGGACCATTTATGTAACTTTGTCTATTACTATTTATTTTTTATTTAATTTATTTATATTTATATGATGTAGGATTTTTTTTTGATGATTTGTTCGAATATATTCTTGATGTTTTTTTTTTCGTTTGCATTTTTTGATATTTTGTTCATGTAGTTTTTTTTATATTTTATTTGAATACATTTATTAATATTTCTTTTGACTTTTTGTTTGAATAATTTTTTTTATTTTTTTAACGTTTTGTTCAAATATATTTTTTAATGATTTTTTTACAATTTGTTATTTTATATTTGTTAAGGATTTCATGGTCATTATAATCATAATCCGTAACTTAATTCACTTACGATCATTTTTTTTTTGGTTTTAGTATATATAAGGTTATATAACTATAATTTTTTTAATTAAAATATATAACTGTGTAACATATATAAGATTGTATGATTATTATTTTTGTAAAGCTTTTATAAACATTTTTTTAAATATATAAAAAAATTTATTGAATGTGAATATGATTAATATAGATAGGTTAATCGGAATATATAGGCTAATCAAAAAAATGTCTAAACGAATTAAACAACTCGAAAATACTAAAATGAAGAGGGTGTTTGGGAGTGTTTTTTATACTTACAAGTGTTTTTTTTTAGACAATTGCTTATTTGTTTATGGCGTTTTCTAAAAGTAGTTTTAAAAATGTGTTTGGATTAGCTTTTAGGGAAAACCACACAAAAACCCTATGTATTATACTCCAGCGCTTAAAAAAAACCCTTATATTATCAATTGGTACAATTTAACCATTATAATTTCGGAAACCGTGTAACCTATCTCATTTATCCGGTAACCCTAGGTTACCCGTTCTTATTAGTCTACGTGGACTATATTCGTTCTCTGTTAACTTGATAGCGATCATTCTATAAAAAAACGAAAGGGAAAGCTACGTACAAGAGGGAAAGCTTCTTGGAAGTGGCGGGAAACTTGTTGCTTAATCACAAGAAGAAAAGGTAATCGGTCATTTCTATTATGCTTAATCTAAACATCAACCCGTCTTTTACCCCTAGTTCTTATTTTATTGTTTCCATTGATTCTTCAAGGAAGCTTAACTAAAAACTATGACTTCAAATTCAAATGTTTTATGTAAAGTTTATATGGGGTGTGAATGGAATAGATGATGAGTCTGATGAAGAAGAATATGTTCCTTCTTTAATGGACAAAACAATATAGGATCCTTTTTTTAATGACTTGGTACACACAACCATATGATCCCTTGGAATATAATGGAACCACACTTGGGGGAAAATACGAAAGCCCGTAATAGTTCAAGCTTTGTCTAACAAATTATGCGGTGGCTAATGGATACCAGTTGAGGTTTGCCAAGTGTGATCGTTCTGGGATATTATTATGTTGTGGCAAAAACATGATGATAATAAGTATCCATTTAGATGTTGGGCGTCTTGGATGGGAAATGAACTAACTTGGCAGGTGAAATATTTGGAAAATAAACATGTTTGTGCACGAAAATACAACCTCAGGTCATTGACAACTCCAAGTTGGATTGCTAACCATTATCTTAGTGACCTAATTCGCAATCCCAAAACAAAAGTCAAAGAAATGAAAGCTGGTTTTTACAGAGATATTTTTTAAAGCATAGCAAATGTCAGTGTGAAAGGGCAAGGCCCTTAACATCTACACTAATTTATGGCAAGTTAACTGATCATTATGCAATAATATGGGATTACGGTAATAAAGTTTTGAGATCAAACCTAAGAAGCACTGTTGAAATTGGAGTCGATGTCAATTCGAATGCGAAATATTAGAAAAGAATCTACATTTGTTTGAAGGCTTTAAAAGAAGGATGGTTGAAAGGATGTCGTAAGGTGATTGATTTAGATGGATGTTTCTTGAAAGGGAATGTTAAAGGAGAGTTACTAGATGCTATTGGTCAAGATGGAAACAATCAAATTTACCCTATTGCATGGGCGGTTGTGAACGTAGAAAATAAAGATAATTGGAGGTGGTTCAGTGAATTACTACAATCAGAGATTGAAACAGTTCAAGGAAATGGGCTTACTTTAATATCATATCAACATAAGGTAATTTTCTACCTAGTAATGCTTATTTTGACCAATATCAATATATGTTAACAACCTTATGTCAAAGCAATCGCTATGGACATTTTTGGACACTTTTTAACAATATTTGACATATTTAAAATGATAAAACAGGCTTATGTGAAAACAACCCCTATCGACATTTTTGACACCTTTTAAAAAAACTTTAACATATTTGAAATGACAAAATGTGACATCCCAAAATCACGGCCAGAAAAGACCGGTTTTGTTTATACTTTATTTCAAAATCAGAGTAACCTTTTAATAAAAGAGTTGCAGAATTTGTCCCAAAACAATAATATTATAAAGAGTTATCAAAAGCATTTCCTTAGAAATGTATTTCATTAAAAGACTCGGGATGTCATGTTCGATACAGTACATAAGTATAAACAATACAATATAAGCCTTACTACATTATTTCATATCTATAGGCCTATATCCGTAATCCCTCACCCCAACATCACAATTATGCTCGAGCGCCACTACCTGAAATACATAAAACCGAGTGGGTCAGGCTTGGGAGCCTGGTGAGCACATAGGGTTTTCAACCCACAATAAATAAGTTTATTAATTTCATCGACCAACAATAACCCGATTACCCGTTCCTGTTATCCTCACATTACGTCCCTAAACACCTATCATAAGGGACCTATCCTAAGGATCATCATCAGGATGAACACTACTGCTAAGAGGGTTCATCAGCAATAAATGTCCTAAAAGCAACCAAGAGGGGGATGGAGTACACCGGTGAACACATCGTTCACAAACCCCTACAGGTTGCGAGCCTGTCAGCATTCCACTAGACTATCTAGAAGAGTTCGTGGTCGTCATCTATACTCCGCTAGATGACTGGATCAACAACAACAACATCGAGGCCTCTCATCATTTTATCACACATCGTCTTATTACATCTACCCATGTTTTACCCCAATATTTTTGTAGACATAAAATACATATACAGTTTAAATCATTTAAAACTTGTATAAAAACATTCATCCAGCATAGATAGCAAGTATATAGATAATATGCACACATAGCACGTAATATATAAAATACTTCATATCTATGTGTAAGATGAAAGTAACT